AGAAAAAAACAAAAACACTGTGGACTTGCGAGCTCTGGTGGCCTAGTGGCAAGAAGCTGCAACTACAGTCTCAGAGGTGCACGGTTCAAATCCACCAGATGCTCTGCTGGAGAAGGAGGAACAATCTCCTCCTGTACCAGTCAGATCTGATTTGACAGTACACACAAAAAATAATGAAATACAAATTAAAAAAAAACCAAAACAAAAAAAACCACTGTGGACTTAAAGTTAAGAGTCATTTAGGTTGATTTCTTCACAGCCTCAGAGCCGTAAAGTTAAACTCTTTATATTCTGCCTTTTACCTATGAACCAAGTTTCATCTTTAGCAGGTGTGAGAAGACCTACCTCGGGGTCCCAGAGCAGGAGCCGGGAGCTGTCTACTCACACCCCACCCCACCCCCACCCCCGTCACTGGGCGATGGTTTGAACTGCTGGCCTCCTGACCAACAGCTAAACTATAAACCACAAGGCTCCAGCACTAGCTCTAGGATTACATTTTTTAAAAATCCTGAAGTCATCTTTTTTCCCTTGTAAGACAGACAGTTCAGTGTGTCCACCGAGAGAGGCTTCTGTCGGAGAGGGACTCCAGACATGTAAGGGAATCCTTGTCGGACAGATCACCTGTCTAAGAGAGGGACGGCAAGACCGGTGTAACCACATCTCTGACAAAGCAGCCCCGAGAGCTCACAGCAGCAGCTTAGGAAGGTTCAGGAGTGTAACGAGAGGTGCGTTCTCCCTACCTGGTAGTTGTTTCTCTATGACCTTGTGATCAAGTTGATTAGGACATTTTATAGTCAGCTCTAAAGAAAGAAGAAAAGTTACCTGATTAGGGAACCATTTTGTCAATTTAGCATAATTTACAAAGATAACTACATCCTATGTTGGTGAGCAGCATCTAGAATCTCCACAGCTTGCAGGCAGCTGGCCAAGATGTTTGATGGTCTCTACTTATAAGCAGAGTAAAGCCTCAGCCAGCCTCTAACCCAACACCAGGAGGACAAGACGGTCAGCGCCACTACTGACCATTCGGACCAGGACACGAGGTCTGCAATAGAATGGGGGAAATGTGGAAGAAAATGCATAGTGACCAAAAAACCCCATTTATGGGACCAGCAGAGACAGAGGAATCCCCAAGACCAGGACAGGAAGCTATCTGCACTGGCCATCCTTCAGCCAAAGGATACACTGGCTTACAATATTGCAACAGTATCACTATCACTCCTTAAAAAAATTAACTGCCATTAGACTACACTGTTTCTTCTCAGAAGCAAAGATGAGGGCAGGAGGGGCAGGGAAGCTGGACAACTCTAGCACCACTGACATCTGTAAGCACAGTAGAAAACATCTGTTTATAAACTGGGAAGGTGGACCTGATTTGCTGGCTGATCTTTAACCTTAAACACGACTGAGAACTTAAAAACCAAGCAGAACTAACTGGTGTTGGAGGTGTGTGAAGGACCTACCTTCAGTCATGTGTCTGTCAGATTCTGCCTTGTCAGTCCGCCCTGCCCGCTGCCCCCCACCCCGCAGTAACTGAGTGCTGAGCACCAGCGTGCACTGTGACTGCTGCAACAGCAATAGGTTCCATCTCAGTGTACCCTTTTAGATGTCATGACAGTTTTCATTTCCCATGGAGCTGCCTGGAACTTGGCTCAGTCACACTACCATCTTGTGTTTGTTTCTCCGCTATATTGGAGCAGTACACATACATGTGTGTGATCTTACTGTGAGTGACTTTACTGGAAAGGTCAACTGGTAACTTTTCTAATACAGGTATCAGTGCCACGCGCAAGTTCACTGTTCTTAGTGTTGCTCAAGTCACTCTGATTCAGGGTGACCCCACGCTTTGCCAACCGAGACATTCCTGCAATCCAAGTTGGCTCAAATCTTAATGCAAGAACAGGCCTTACTGATGTTCAACATTTCTTCTATTAATGTATCTTAGAATTACTAGTAACCTCCAAAAAGAACTGGGTCAACATTCTGGAGCCTCCCTGACAATTTAGCTTGGTTAAGAGTTAGGGCACAGATGCCCAAGGAATTAACAATTCACAGCCTTCCTCCATTTAGAACACTGAAATGAGTCTAATGGTTGGGCGGCCTGTGCACTTGTATGTTACTTTGAGAATTTACACCATTTCTCTAAAAATCAAGCTTTTAAGTGTGTGCCATCTCTGGTAAGTTAGCATTACCCGTTTCCAGCCCTCAGGGCTTTAACACAGAAAAGGTTGATGTGACTTTAGGGTTCTTACTTAGTAACTGATTCTTGAGCATAAATGGTTGCTGTGTTTTGAATTCTCCATCTTCAGGTGCACCGTATTCTGTTTAAGAAGACATGTAAAAAGAAAAAAACAAAGATGAAGCCCTGAAAGGAGACAGCTTTCTAGTTAAATGCCAGGACAGCCTCCTTTTCCCACCACTGCCTGAGCGGTAGCTGGCACTCAACAGGGCATCCTTCCAAGGAACAGAGGCATCTCTCTCACTTTCTCTGTGGAGGCTGGTTTGGGTTTAGGAAGTTAAAGTAGCTGTCTGCAAGGACAGAATCTTCCAAAACGTATATTAACAATCTGCGTTATGCAGATGACACAACCCTGCTTAGAATCTTCCAAAACGTATATTAACAATCTGCGTTATGCAGATGACACAACCCTGCTTACTGAAACTCAGGAGGACCTTATGCACTTGCTGCAGAGGGTCAAGGACTGCAGCCTTCAGTATGGACTGAGGCTTAATGTCAAGAAGACCAAGATTCTCACCACTGGACCAATTGGTAGCATCAGGATGGATGGCAAAGAGATTGAGATTGTTCACAGCTTCAGTTTGCTTGGCTCCAAGGACAACACTCTTGGCACCAGCAGCCAAGAAATCAAAAAACGTATTGCAATGGGAAAGTCTGCTGTTAGGGACCTCTCCAAAGCACTCAAGAGCAACGGTGTCTCTCTGGAGACTAAGGTGCGCCTGATACAGGCCATGGTCTTTACAATCACTTGTTGTGCATCAGACAGTTAGACAATGACTAGGGAGGATAGAAGGAGAATTGATGCCTTTGAACTGTGATGCTGGAGAAGAGTACTGAATGTATCATGGATTGCCAAGAAAACAAACAGATTCATCCTGGAGAGGGTTAAACCAAGCTACTCCTTGCAGGCAAGGATTCTGGGGCTTCCTCTGACATACTCTGGGCATGTTGCAAGGAAGGACAGGTCCTTAGAGAGGGACATCATGCTTGGGAGGGTGGAGGGACGGCGCAAGAGGGGAAGACCCTCTATGAAATGGCTTGATTCAGTGACTGGGGTAATCGGGATGGGTGTGTCAGAGGCAGTGTGATTGGCACAGGATAGAGCAGGGTTTAGGGCTGTTGTACATAGGGTCACTATGAGTCGCAAACGACTCAACAGCACATAACACTAACAACAACATGTATTAGTACACATTACTGTTCTTACGGACGAATGCTGTCATGTCAACCCAGCAAGATGAAGCTGTGAAAAAGATAACACCAGTGTGCATTTACTCCCCTTTGAAGTGTTGTCTTTCTTTAAGGTCCTTTTTAGGGTTCACAGCACACGGTTACCCAGTTATAACCAGACTCTGCTGTGTGTTGAGCGAGTGGTGACAAACAGGGAGCCAGGTCACCACCCCGACCGACTCCAGCACATCAGCTTGGACGGGGGCCTGTGCACGAGGATACGAGACAGGATGGGGGCCTGTGCACGAGGACACCACGCACTGGCCAGGACGGGAGGCTTGTGCACGAGGACACCACGCACTGGCCAGGACGGGGGCCTGCACATGAGGAAATGTGCACCATCCAGGACATGCACACTGGCCAGGACGGGGGCCTGTGCCCGAGGACATGCGTGCTGTCTGCTCAGACATGGCACACTGTAGTGTCATTGTCCCAGGCATGAATGATCTGGTCTCGTGCACCCTGTGACCTTAAATCATATTTGCAGGACTGACCTCTCAGAGGTGCTGAACCTCCCTTCAGTGCCCAGGGAATGGGAGTTGTTAATGGAGCAAACTGAGATCAAGAGGTGGCTCTAAAGAGCGTGGAGGGACTACAAGGAGCTAGTCAGAGTGAGAACTATGAAAGGGAAACCTGGAATGATAAGGACATGAGACCGGAAAGACATTGGGGAAGAGCGCAGCTTCAGAGCCTGGGGAAGCACCTTGCACACCAAGTCCTCACCTGGTGGCGGATGAGAAGCATCCGCAGGGCCACACTCAGGAAGAGCTGTCTGTGTGTACCCTGTTCAGACATGGAGTCGTCCGCCTACTGCTGACAGGTGCCCACTTGTCACGACGCCCACCCAGGTTCCCAAGCTGGTCTTTATGAGAGGAGGCTGCTTATCTTTTTTAATTTAGGAGATTTAAACCCCTGACCTGTGAGTTAGCAATCCATGTTACGTTATGAGCTCAAAACTATACACACCACCGAGTGAGTCACTTCCAACTCCTGGCGACCCTCCACTGTTTCCGAGGCTGCAGATCCTCAGAAGAGGAGACTGGCTGTGTTCAACAATGTGGATGCCAGGCTCCACCTGATCATTCAGATTACCTAACCAGACCCAGAATGAGATAAACAAGCACTTTCTTCCTTTCCCAAAGTACAAAATGTACCTTACAACTCAAATCTAAAGCAAGTATATGCTAAGACGGGAAGACTGAAAAGATAGCTTCCTCCTCCCCAAATGCAAACCTCTTACTCTTGGGAACCTAAAGAGACTACTCTGGTTCATTTTGTAGATACTGTTGATTCATTGTCTCTGAAAGGAATTTAAAAGTCATCTGCACTCACCCTACTCATATGACTCAGGAAAAGGCCTATGGTCCATCTGGATGAATCCCAAAAGCCCCCAGAAAGGGAAAGCAACAGGAAGAATGTCCTTTGATACTCAAGGGAAAACCTGGTTCCAGCTGCAAGTCCACCAAGGAAGGGTCTTGAAAGTGTACATACTGAGGCAGAGGGACTGGTATCGAGGATGGGCTGCGAGGAATCCTTCATGTGGTCTGTTTTTGTCTGGATCCTGATGTCCACCAGCCTTTTTCCACTCCTCCCCAAAGGCTTTCCGGTAATCGAGCTCAGCGCCACGCCTCTCCTCGGAGAAGATCTATGGTGCCGTGAAACAAGCGAGGCGCTTTGCTAAAAATGCCTCCAGTGCCCCTCCCCGCCCCTTCACGGCACCCCACCACCACCACCACATTGAGAAGGATGAGAATCTCAGCTCCATGCTTCCCCATCCTTATGGATTCAGGAGTTTATTAAAAAAGAATAAAGAACATCCACTTTATGCTTTTTCATGAGACTGTTTACACAGTTTAGCCTTTATCTAAGCTATTACCAGTGCATCAGTAAGAGGCTGCTCTGCTCGCCCAAAGGCAGGCAGCTAAAACCCACCAACCATTCCATAAGGGACACAGGCAACCTCCTCCCTGCGATTTACAGCCTGTGAGGCTGGTTCCGAGTGGATGCAGTGAGGGTCCCCTAACCCAGTTGGCCCACAGCACTTCCCAGAAGGGGTGCTCTCTTTCAGGGGAACACCACACAAGCCCAGGCAAAGCTCAGCCTTCCCAACTTAGAGGCAGAGCAGCTGGGCTTCACGAGCTCTGCGGTTTCATCCATCTGTCTGCTGTGCCCTGTACCGTGCTGGCTCAAAAGGCCAGCAGACCCTCCATCCCCTCGGGAAAGAATTATGAGTTGTCTGTGCCTGTTAACATCTTCAGCCTTGAGAGCCCCTCGGGGTCACCCTGGGTTAGAGCTGACTCAGCGGGAGAAGTCTGCGTTTTCTGGGTTTGGTTCTAAGACATGAGTACCACGTTCCTCCTAAGGAGTCGGGAAAGGACTGTCACATATGTGCAAAAGCAGGATTTCACCGTCTGGCAGGAACCCATGGCTGCTGCCCTTACAGTGTTCGACATGATTCCCTGACTGCCTCACAGGGAAGTAGCACCCCCACTCTGACGCTCACCTCACACCGGTTGAGTGTGGTCAGCTGGCCAACTCTGGCGATGATCATCTGCCATGTGGTCTGTGCTTCTTTGTCATCTGCAGTCAGGGGGTTCCTCAAACACGACAAAGAGTGCAGGCTCTGCAGCTTGTCCAGTTCATTGATAAATGACCACTGAGACCAAAGGAGAGAAAACACGATCACGGTTACTTCTCATTACCTGAGCAGAAAAGCCAAGCTCCCCGCTGGAACTTGAGGCGCTCATGAAATGTGACCCTGTAGGACCCTGAGGAAACCCCGTCCTTCTACTCTACACCTGTGACAGGCACTCTGCTCAAGTGGGACCACTATTTCAGCAGTGTGGGTGTGGATGAGGTGCAGCCCTGCAGGGAAGCCTCCCGCCCAGGAGCAGGAAGCCCCAGCCAGCTCCTGGGGTGGGGGGCTGTCGGGAGCTAAGCACCGGTCAGGACACGTATTCTGAAGGGGCCCTCACCTGTGAGATCTGATTGTCATTTACAACAAGATATTGCAAGGAAGGGAACATGGACGTTTTGCACCCTAGAAAAAGAAAAGTAAACTTACATAGCAGAAGTAAAAGAAAACAGGTAAAGCATGGAAGGGGAGGAAAAGTAATGTTTTCTACCAATTCCAGCATCCGGAAAATGCAGAGAGGAAAGCCCCATGTCTGAGAGGATCAGCTGTTCCAACCTGAAATGAAGACATGGAAACGGGATCACACAGAATTCCACAGACCTATATAAAGTGGTCTGTGCAACAAAAAAAGCAGACTAGCTTTTCTCTCTGTATTCAGAAAATTTTGTCCAAGATGTTTAAAAAGCATAATGTTCATTTTAAGACATACAAGTATACTCTACACTATTTTCTAAGGGTTCTGTAATCCTCTAATAGCTGCTAAATGACTTTAAAAGAGGAAGGAGTCGTGGTCCTATAAACCTGACATTTAAGGAACAGGAAAAGAAGATCTATAACCATTCTTTACAAGGACACTAAGAAAAGCTATGTGAGCGCAGGGGAGAATGGAGGGCATCACTGAAGGGCAGAGCCTGGGGAAGCAAGCTGAGCTTTAGCAAGTCAACAAAATGTTCTACAATGAGAATAGTGTGGACAGAGGCACTGGAGACAGAAGAGCATTAAATCAAGGACAGAAGTCCAGCTAGCATAGGACGCAGCAGGCATTCTGAGGCCACATCCGTGGTCTTCAATGGCAGCTTTCCTCCAAAACAACGAGGACACATAATGTGAAGAGGAAAGTTAGTGTTAGGGCTGCACATTCCATAACTGGCACAGTGGAGACATGCGACACAGGAGCAGGAATTGTAACAGCACTGCAGGGAGGAGGAACAAGCCATTTCATGGAAGGATACAGTTACAGGAAGAGTGACAAGGAAGACTATGAAGGAGGAATCAAAGCTGACAGAAACTGGCAGCACTTAGTAATCAAGGCATTCTGGTAACAAAGTTCGGAGCGAGTTACGCAGCTAACCAAAAGACCTATGCCCTGGTTCAAAGCCCCCAGCGGGCTCCTCAGGAGAAAGGTGCGCAGTGTGGCAGGGCCAGCTGACTGCTGAAGACAGCTCTGCTAGTCAGCTCTGACGGACCCAGGCTGGGAAGACTACGGCAGTGACAACAACGTGGGGAGAAGCACCTTTTGAGAGCGAACATGCCAACAGGGTGTGCAGACTACTGCTCAAGGGATTGCGCGGTCTTACCAGCCTGCTGGGCTCACACCGAGCAGGCTCGGGCAGAAACAGGAGTCATGTCGTTAGCGAGAAAGAACTGGAGAGTGCAGGGCAGTGTGTGTCCTTCCTTCAGACAGATATGCTCAGGATGCATAGTGACGTCGTCATCATCGTGTCCTATCGAGTGGAACCTGACCCACAGCTGACATCTGGCAAGCTTTCAGAGGCAGTAACTCACACAGAAGGCAATGGCCCATCCTTCCCCACAGAGCAGCCAGGGGACTGCCTTTGAGTTGGAGGCGCTCCTCCTTACCACTGGGCCACAAGGGCTGATTGAACCGGTGCAGAGAAGGAAGGCAGCCCTAATGCACTTTTCCTGATTTTAAACTGTACAGTGTTCCCTTGTTCTATCCAGACCACAGCTTCCTCATCTTCATAAAGGTTTCACATAAGCAAAGTAAAGTGTTCTATGATTCTCATTCTTCTCAATGTTGCCACAATTTGTTATGATCCACACAGTTGAATACCTTTTCAGAGTCGATAAAAGACATGTCAACACCATTCTGGTATCCTGTCCTTTCAGCCAAGATGCATCTGACATTGGCAACAATAATTTCCACATTCTCTTGGACCACTCTGTTGCAACATGCACAAATACAGTTCTCGTCCAGTTAACTGGCCAAGAAGCTTGCTTCCGTATTTCTTGGTACAAATCTCAATTAGTACTGTCAGTTCTTGGAGCTTTCTTTTTGTCAATGCCTTCATGATAGCTTGAATTCCTTCCTTTACTATCACTGGTTCTTGAGCATATGCTATCTCTGAAAGCTGACCCTCCAGCGGGTTTTCAAAGACAGTTCATCTCACAGGAGGAGATTGTCCATCCTTCTCCCAGGGAGTGGCTGATGGCCTTGAACCATGTGCCTTTGGGAATGCAGCACAGCTTCTCGCCTCCTGGCCACCAGAGCTCCCTCTCTGAAAGATAAGATTAACTAATTCTTTCAGACAGAGTAAGTCTTTAATTCTATCTTTTTTGGATGATTTCTGTGCCAAAACATTTTGTCCGTAGAATCTTTCCACACTGCAAATTGAGGCCTGAAGTTCTCTTTCAGTTCCTTCAGCTTAAGAAATCCTAAGTGTTTTCATCCCTTTAAATTTTCTCACTCTAGGTTTTTGCACATTTGATGACAATATTTTGCTTTGTCTTGTCAAGCTACCCTCAGAAATCTTCTCTTCAGTTGTCTTACTTCACTATTAATACCTTTTGTTTTAACTTCTCTATGTTCAAGAGCAAGTTTCAGAGTCTCTTCTGACATCCATTTTGGTCTTTTCTTTATTTCGTCATTCCTTTCTTTCCTGTCTTTTTAATCATTTTCCCCCCATGTCTTATGCCCTTGATGTCATCCTACAATTCATCTAGTCTTTGTTCATCAGAATCAAGTCTACACAATAAGATGCCACTTAACAGCCACTAAAACAGGGATGATCAAAACGATGGACAAGACAAAGTGTTGGCAAAATGTGAAGGAAGTGAAACTCTCATTCACTGCTGAGAGAAATGTAACATGGTCAGGCTACTTTGTCAAATGATCTAGCACTTCTTTAAAAAGTTAACCAAAGCAATTTCACTCTTAGGTATGGACGCAAAATCAGTAAAAACCTGTTCATAAATGTCCACAGCAACATTATTCCTGGTCACTAAAACACCCAACAACCCAGACCTCCATCAGCTATATCTCTCTATGACGGGACTCTGGTGGCACAGTCCACAGCGTGGTGTGCTGCGACCAAAAGGTCAGGCTCAGATGCAGTGTAGATATACATACAACACAAAGAAGAGAAGCAAAGTGGATAGAAATTGATGGCGCTAGTAACCAAGCTCTGGGGGCATAGTCCAGCAACCCAAGGTAGTACTGCAAAGCCAACACAACATGGCCCTCTCTGCAAGGTCAAATCCATGAGCTGCTCCAGGGGGAAAGATGGGTAATGTCTTCCCATGTGATTTTCAGCCTCTGAAAATCACTGGAGGGTCAGCTGTGAGTTGATTCTGATGCGACAGCAATGAGACAGTAATCAAGCAACTATAGTGGTCTAGCCCATAGCATGCTGTGCTACATCCCTAGCACTTCAAATCCGCCTGGATCTCCCCAGGAGAAAGACTGATGAAGTCCTGTTAGGATGTATAAGCTCGGAAAGCTGACACAGGGTCACTTCAAGTCGGAATCAACTTGATGGCAATGAGCTTGACTTTAGATTTTGAGGTCTATTAAGCAACCACACTCTGTGAAATATACACGTTCTACAATATGGATGAACTGTGGAAACACGATACCAAGTGAAAGCAGCCAGCCCAAAGGCCTGCATCCTGTGTGGTTCCATTTACAGTGAATGTCCAGAACGGGCCACCACAGGGATGCACAGTGAACAACTGTGGTTGTGAGGAAGGAGGAAGAGGGACTGCTAGAGTTACAATCTGGAATGATGAAGATATTCTAGAATGGATCACTGTGATGGCAGACTCTGTGACTATACTGACAACTGTAGAGCTGAAGAAGTTAAATTGGTGAATTAGATAATGTGTAGATTATACCTCAGTAAAGTGCATATTTTATGGGCTATCTGCAAAGAAGGTCTCCAAGATGTTCTTAAACCTCAGCCTAGTCACTTCAAAATCATGTTTGAGATAAAAATGTTTGGCAAGGTCAGTTTCTTCATTCCGTGAATTATCTAGTACACTGTACAGGTTAGGTTCAAAAGGAATTTCTTTAAATGAATTCAAATAAACACTTCCCAAAGCTAATTACTCAATTTAGAAAACCATTATCATTATTCTTTAACTGAGAAAACATACATGTTATTGTCAGTGGCCCTCGAGCTGATTCCACCTCAAGACAACCTCATGGAGCAGAATCAATCCCAGGGTTGCCAGGGGTGTGAGCTCTCAGAAACAGGTCTCCAGAACTGTCATCCACGGTGTGTCTGGTTGGGTTTAAACAGTTAACCTTTCAGCTCGTAGCCAAGTGCTACCCAGGGGCTCTCGAAAATATGTATTTGTCTGTATGTGTGTATATGTATGTATGTGAATCAACCCGACAGAAACGAACAACATTTCCTACGCACTATCGTAAATAAGCATTTTGGGAGCACAATTACCTGGGTAGATACGCTATTCGAAATAGCTGATTTTCATCAATTGAGCGATTACCAGAAAGATCTAGTAACTTGATTGTCTGTAGGACATCAGTTGGTCTATATAGGAAATAGACATTATTTCACCATAAATTTCATTATCTGTGAGTTTTTTCTCTCAAAAACACAGCTATAAAATACTTTCATTTTTTTTCTGTATAAATGAAATCATTCGTAGCAATGAGGTTTCACTCTTTCAAGAACTTTTGTAAATTTGCTCACCCTTAAGTTTACCTTTATACAATAACTGAACAAAAAAAGATGAAGCAACAATGTATTTAACATATTTTTAAAAGCAGCATTTATCTCTGCTTGGTATACTGGATTCAAGCAGACAATGCTAATTAAAAATCCATTACATAATCACAATGGCATTTTATGGCACACCTTATGGAATATTCATTTAGAAACAGCAATAATCATTTACTTAAAAGTAATATAATTTGTCTTTTCAAACTATTCAGACCTTCAAACTGATTTTTTCATGTAAAGTTTTAGCTGATTTCTAATTGGTTGAGATAGTAACTAAGACTCATTTTTCTAATTCTTCTATGCAAATTCTCTGAAAAGGAATGTTAGGTGGTGGTGACTTATCTAATCATAATGACTCAATGCTGATGAATGCATGCCGGTAATCCTTCCTACCTTTCGGAAATGACAAGATCATTAGCCTCCAGGTACAGTTCCTCCAGGATGGGCCACCCAGCAGCACACTGGAGCACCTAAGGAGAACCACGGGCTTCCTTCACGAGTTTATTATCACAACTCCCACGTTAGCCCAGCAGAAACATGAGCACTCCATCCTATGCTTTAGTGAAGTACCTCACAGACATCTCAGGACAGACTACATCCAGGCAGAGTGTTTGGGTGTGGTGACAAAATTACAGTGTTAAAGGGCCAGAGTTTAAAGACAGTGTAGCATACACCTCTGACACACTGATCTAACCCAAGCAGGTATAAAAGCATCATTCAGATATATCCTTAACTCCATTAAGTCCACTACAAGGGAAACTACACATACTGATTTAACACATTATCTGATATCATTTGCTTAACAAAAAAATTGGTGTTAAACATCTTTCCTTAATTCTGCATGCAAAGCTAGGTTTATAAAGAATAACTACTCAGAAAAAAATACTTCTCACTTCTCTGAATTTTCTCACCTCACTGTGGCTGCCATCTCTACCGTCTGACTTCATCTGGTCGTAAATCTAAACTTGAAGAAGTCTAGCTTATCATTCAAAGTATACTAGAATAGAAGTTGGAGAGGTGATTTGGAGTAACTAGTCTCTAAGTTAACACCAAAAAGCTGTGTTGCAATCCTAAAGGCACCCAGTTCAAATCCACCGGCTGCACCACAGGAGGATGGACAGTCTCCCACGTCATTCAGCTGCCTCTAGAAACATGCTAGGAGGCCACCAGCTGCTGTGTTTCCGAGTCCAAGGCACATGACAGCAATCGTCAAGTGAGGTGCCTCTGTGCACGTAGAGCTGAACAGAACTGCTGGGCAGATGCTAATCTGCACGAGACTATTCAGGAGTGTGTAAACACCGATTGGCTGCAGAGCCAACGGCCCACAATGCCCAGCCAGGTACAGTGTGTTATCATCACGGAACTTCATACAGAAAAAATTACGTGAAGGCTCTCTGTTGCTCAGGACCAGCCGGGAAAAGACTTGCCAGAAAACTCAGGCAGCAACAAGGCTCAATAAACAGACCAATCAGAGACTTTCAGCAGCTCAGCCCACATTTACTGACCACCAGTATGGAAAACCAAAAACCACAGCAAGCCGAGACACAAAACACCATGAATTCCTAGAGAGAACAGAAACTTAACACCAGTGATGTTTTTACTCCTCTAGGAAAAATAAAGATGATTCTTAATTAAGCTAACAATTTAAAATTTATTACATTTTGAAATTGTGGTTACAAATACACAAACATACCTCAGCCCAGGTTATTCCTGTCCGATTAAGGACTAAAACTTTCAGTGCAGAAAATGCTCCCGTTAGATATGGTGAACCAGAAGGAAAGTGAAGTTTATTTTCACTGTGTAGAAAAAGAAGATACACTCTGCTTATTGCTTTGCAAATCTAGCAGAGCCAATCAAGGAGGCAACCTGAGGGTTGTGCTGCTTTGCTGTAAACTTAAAATGCAATTCTAAAAAAAAAAAACCAAAAAACTCTATTAAAAACAAACCGAACCAGACAAGCAGTATTTTAAGTGACAATGTATGTAACTGTCTGGTATATGATACTGAAAACTGTCACTGCACAGTTAGGGAAGCTCTGAGGCCATTCTGGTGTGTGGGATTCTCCCATGGGGTGACTCCCTTCTGTCTGACAATCTGGACTGTCAATGGGGATCCTGCTGTGTGAGGCTGTCCCTGACGTGTGGGACTCTGCGTTCTCCCAGGTATGACTCTATTCTGTCTTACATCTGGACTGTAGACAGGGATCCTGCTGTGTGAAGCTGTCGCTGACGTGTGGGACAATCCAGTAGTGTAACTCCATTCTCAGAGTCTCAGTGACAGGTTAGATTGTGCATTGCGATTCTGCTTCTCTGGCCTTCCGGCAGCCAGGGATGAACGGACTGTCCTTTAAATTGTACTCAATCCTGGCAGTCACCTTGAAAAAAACCCTAAAACCCCTGAGTAACACTTACCCATATTCCCAAAGCAGAAGACACCAGGGATCAGATTACACCTGTCTGCCCTATTTGAGGGCAGTTAATTTAGGCCTAGTAAACTCTTTAATGCTATCTACTTGAATCAGGTGCAACTCATCTGTATATGAAAAGTTGGTTCATTGGTTCAAATACGAAAGGGGGAGTGTCCCTGGGGCAGAGGGGGGCGGACTATATACCAATGAAGGAATTTTACTTTTCAAGGAGAGGAGCAAACCGGGGGTTGCGGGGGTGGAGGGGTGGGCAAGGAGAAAAGTGCAACAAATGAATGGAAATCCAAAATCTCTGTAAATGTTCATTAAAATAATTAATAAATAAAAGTAAACAAAAAAAAATTTTTTTTTAAATGAAAGGGGACCCTTGGCTAAGCCCTTAGAAAACTGGATTGAGACTAAAACTAGCCAAATATCTTGGGGAGGCCTAGAAAACTCTGACATTAGTAAAATATGTAGATTAGTGAAAACAATCCTTATCAAAAAGGCATTAAGACATTGCCACACACTTAAATTGACAACTGTGCTTAGAAACACTTTTTTTTTTGCCATCATTTGCGGCAACATGTTAAACAGTATCTCAATGAAATTAACTCATTCCTAACACAATATAAATGCTAGAAGCTTTAAAGTGGACACTTCTACTAATAGTATCTCCCACACACACACACACTCTTAGCTCTCCAATTAAGCATCACATCTCGGAGAGGCCCCATCCTTTATGGTCAAGCTTATAAACAATACAAAGTTAGGTGCGCTCCTAACAACTAGTGTGCCCTTAAAGCATAATTTTAGATAAACATCAACTGAAACAAATTCTCTCCAGAAATTTCTACCAGGTGGCAGCCAACCCTCACTCATCTTCCCCACCTCATTATCAGGGACACAGATTACGTGGGCAAGGAGAGATTAGGGGTTTTACAGTACGGGACTAGAATTCATACCTGAGATTAAGAAAGTCCAGTTGTTTGAGCTGGTCAGCAATACGGATCATTTCATCCCATGAAGAGAGTAGGTTTCTTGACAAATCTACCTTTCTAATATCTAAAAGTATATGTTAAGAAATAGTCATTTCAAAAGCTTCATGAAAACTCAAACAACCATTATCTGCTTAATTCTGAAGCATGAGACCTACTCTATTATTCAAAACATTCTATGAGCCCCTACTACAGTTCATCCAGAAACACAAAATTCATGTTTGCAACCTAGAGACAAAGAGCTACAGTCAGAGAGTAAGGACCAACGTCACCCCAGCCACTCCATCATTCAGTAACACAAGACAGACAGACAGTGATGCTAGTTTTCTGAGCCCCAAGGGTGCACTGCACCACAGACCTGGCCCTAGGCACTGCTTAGGGCTAGAAAGTTCCTCACCAGAGACTCCCTCAGGAATAAAGCAGGCTCTAACACTAAAACTAATCACTCAGGAAGCCACAAACAAAAATTCTAAATTGCTAAGAAATCTGGTGATTCAGAAGGTCATGAGTAAGTTAGACACTCACTGTCCACAGTATAAGAATCAGAGAAAAGGGAAGGGGAGGGACCTGGGAGAGAGGGCTTGTGCACTGTGGGAAACACAGTGACTGGAGATGAATGAGGACTGTGCCGTCAAGGACACGGTCACCAGAGGACACTGTCACTGGGGAGGGCATGGTGATGGGGAAGGGCATGGTCACCGGGGAGGACATGGTCACTAAGGAGGACACAGTCACCAGGGAAAGTGTGGTCACCAGGGAGGACACGGTCACTGAGGAGGACATTGTCACCAGGAAGGACATGTCACCAGGGTAAGGGACAGCTGAGCAGAATCCCTGCTGCGCAGAGACAGAGCTGTGTAGAGCATGAACTGGACCCCTTACAGGAAGCTCATAAACATCAGTCAGATTATTTAGAAATTAATAATTTTCAATTATCAATCATTACTGAGGCCCAGAAATGCAGCAAAGAATAAAACACTGTCTCCGTCAGGGAACAGAGCACCAGCCAAATACCATGTATGAACTGCCAGAGATCAGAGTGACAGCAGAAGAGGAGTGAACAGGGGTGTACAGTACACCAAGTTAGGGGACCACTTTCTGTATTACTTCCAGGAAGAACTGAGGAATCATCATGTTCTAGAACATTCTATGCTGAATAACAAGAGGAAGAGCCTGGAGTTAGGTTTAGTCTATTAAACAGACAAAAGCTGCAGCGTGGAGAGGGGCACGTCAAGACCACTGGGATCTGGTCCGGCACATGGGACCTAGTCAACCACTGTGAAGTCCCTACTGGTCACTGACTGACCCAGGCAGTGTTGCATATTGTGAGGGGTGTACCACAGACTGCAGGGAAACAAGGGATGAGCAGAGACGGAGCTGACACAGCCAGGGGTAGGCTGGGATACAGTGTCTGGCAGGATGCGCCAGCAGGCTTAGAAGCATGGAGTGAAGGGAATCTGTAATTTCTGACCTGTGCATCCAGAGCCGTCACTAACCAGCCTGCGTGTCTGCCACCATCACCAAGAACATGTCCTCTCAAACTAAGGGGGAAAGGTGAAAATGAAGCCATGACACCAAGCACCAGGATGCATTCAAAGCCAGGTGAGCTCTCCCCCTCCATTGACCAGAACACTAGGCACTAAGACACTTTCAAAGCTAGGTGGGCTCTCCCTCTCTACTGACTAAAATGCTGAGCATTAGGACACATTCAAAGCTGGGCAGGCTCGCTCTCTCCACCAACCAGAACACGGGGCATTGGGCCACATTCAAAGCTGGGTGGGCTCTCTCTCTCCACTGACCAGAACACTGGGCAGTGGGACACATTCAAAGCCGGGTAGGCTCTCCCTCTCCACTGACCAGGGCACTAGGAACACATTTGAAGCCCAGTGGACACTTGTTCTCCACTGACCAGAATGCTGGGCACTGGGAAAACATCTGAAGTTCAGTGGTCACCCTTTCTCCATTGACTAGAATGTTGGGCACAGGGAACAAATTCAAAGCTGAGTGGGCATGCCCTCAGAACTGGCCAGAACGCTGGGCACCAAGAACACATTCTAAGATGAGTGGGCATCTCCCCCTCCACTGGCCTGAATGCTGGGCATCAGGAACACATTTGAAGTTCAGCAGGCACCCTCTTCCAAAGAGCAGAACGCTGAGCACTGGGAACATATTCTAAGATGAGGGGGCATCTCCCCTCCACTGGCCAGAATGCTGGGTATTGGGAATGGATTCTAAGATGAGTGGACACCCTCTATCCACTGATTAGAATGCTGGGCACTGGGAACACATGTGAAGATGAGTGGGCATCCTCTCTCCACTGGCTAGAATGCTGGGCACCAGGAACACATTTGAAGACCAGCAGACACTGTTCTCCACTGGAGCGGCCCCACGCTCCGTCCTCACAAGCTCTTCAAGGACCTCACGAGAGAGTGGGCAGCACAGCTCACATGGCCCCTTCATGACAGCTGCTCCTCAGACTGCGCTGTGTCGCCGAGTGCACCCAAGCCTCACAGTCAGCCACCTTCATTTCCCTCAACACCGCTGGCTCCAACTCCTTGGCTGGAGAGAAGGGTTTTTCAGCCCAATAATCCATCTCTCACTCACACTTTCAAGTACAAGATAGGTGTTTCTGGGTATTATGACAGTCGATCTATTAAAAACACACAGCACACAGGCTATCTACACCCTGAATTTAACTGTGAACGATGTAACATGAACTGATGTAGTTATCTACCCTAGCCCACACCCACAAGAGTTCAGGACAGCCTGGCAGACAGAGTCTTGATTCTGCAGACACACTCCACTTTCCACTCTGTTCCACATCACAGGTGAGCAAGCATGAGGAGGCATGCTTCTTCCATGAAGGGGTCTGAGGATTTCAAACACAATGACAACAGCAGAAGTTCACTGCAGCCTTGAAGCCCCACCAACCAAGAGGAGGAGAAAGAGGGGACTAACTACAGGCCGCACTCCTCCAATTCTGGGCAGGAATTTCATCAGGAACCAACCACACAGCTCATCCATCACTATACCTGCAAGCATCAGGTGTGACCTCATTATCTCCATGTCTCCTTTCTACAAACTTTGGGGCACTTTTTCTTCCAGGAAAGAACAATATAAACAAACAGTGTAAGGATTCTCACATACACAGCTGACAACTCTGGTTACCCAAATTATCTACATTCCCAAACCATCCATCTTTTCTTTGTTGTTGTTGTATGTGCCGTCGAGTTGTTTGCGACATCTTTTCTTAGGTGTGGGAAATAAGCCTCAAAACACCCAATTCCTGGTTTTCAGAGCCTGGATAACAGCAGGCCAAAGAAAATAGGGAATGTTCCAGACCTCTCTGGGGCTCATCCACCTGTACTCAATTCTTCTAACTCAGGGATAACAAACCTCCAAAGAAAATGATGTGTGTGGCATGCTGGGTTGAGCAGCATGGTTGAGGTGCCCACAGCAGAGACGATCGGCCAGGATGCTCCAGCCACCCCAGTTCCCAATGGCTACCCAGGGCTGAGGGGATCAAGCATGAGCATGTGGTTGGGGGATCTGTGCTGTCTGGGCAGTGAAAAGTGCCCCATGGCATCATCTTACTCAGGAAAAACAGTCGTGAACTGCTAACTCTCGTGTAAAATGTCACCCAGAGAACATTTTTACTGCATCTCACTGGCCAGCCCCACCCATCAGCACCCACTGCATCTCACTAGCCAGCAGCACCCACTGCATCTCTCTTGCCAGCCCCACCCAGAAGCACCCACTGCATCTCACTGGCGAGCAGCACCCACTGTATCTTCACTGGCAAGCTATATCCACTGCATCTCACTAGCCAGCCGCACCCGGCAGCACCCACCGCATCTCAATGGCCAGAGCGAGCCACAACGTTTCACGGTGATACATGCAGGGCTAAGGAGAAAATCATCCATGTGGACATCAGCTGACAATGCAAAGCTGAGCTGTCATGTGGAAACAGGCCCGGAAGACTGGACACTGAAGATAGAACTCAGATTGAGATGGGTAACAGTGAGGGGCAAGTCTTAAGATCAAAGCCAAGGTCAGCAAAACAAAACAAAACAACGCCAAGGGTTCCAGGAAAAAACAGTCCGTGAAAAGGATACTAGGACACGCGTCAGCAATTCTTCCTCCTTCACCAGCACAACTGACCGCACAGCTCCTCAGAGAGACTTCTTGCAACTTGCTCAACTGACTGCATGAGAAACACATAGTTCACATGTGCACATAAATAAATACAGTTTAAGCCACGGGCTCTTTAAAAACTTACAAAGCATCTCAGACATACAAAAAGGCATCCAAAATAATATGACAAACACCGGTAACCACACCCAGTATGAAACAAAGTAGGACAAATATAACTGGACTTTTCTGTATCCTCTCCTGTGTGTGCTGAATTGTGTCCCTAAAAAGCTAAGCTGAAGTCCTAGCCCCTAGTTCCTTTAAATGCACCCCTATCTGGAAAACTGGGTCTCTGCACAAGTCATCAGTTAAAGTCGCCACACCACTTTAGGGCTGCAGGAAGGGAATGACTTAACAGTGATCTCTCCAGCGGATCTTCTGCCTCTTACACAGCTGGGTGGAACTATGCTAAAAAGGTGTTTGTGCCCCACCACAGGGATTGGACAGCTTGCTAATAATGCAAAAGAACTATTTGAAAGGGGACTGGTCAGTTCTGCCATCCCATTAGTCTTAAAAGAGCCAATCCCTGCACACCCATGTTTACTGTGGCTTTTGTGCGCAATAGCAAAGAGCTGGAAACAACCCAAGTGCCCATCAACAAATGAATGGATAGAAAAGCTCTGGTATATTCACACAATGGAATACTATGATGCACTGAGAAACAAGGAACTCATGCAATATAATGCAAAATGGATGACCCTGGAGGACATTATGCTGAGTGAAATATCTGTCACAAAAAGACAAGTATTGCATAGGGCCACTGTTTTAAAACGGGACATCAAGAGTGAGGGAAAACAGAAAAGGTGGGGAGGAATGATGTATATTGCACTGAAAGAGATGAGGGAGAGAACTGTTAAAAAGGGATATATGAATGGGTATTCTTGTCATTATAGAGTCCAGAGTGAAGGCTGAATAGTGGAGTGGACTTGGGGAGAGGAACTGCATAACAATGAAAGAGTTTCTTTTTTTCTTTTCAAGGAGAAGAATGAATGGGGGGAGGGGATGGATAGGGAGGAAAGTGCAACAATGAATGACTGGAAACCCTAAGTCTCTGTAAACTTTCATTAATTAAAAAAAATTTGATCCAATATTTAAAATAGGGAGCTTTTACATTAAATCCTACGATTTTTCACAAAATCGTTCTGGATTCTTTCAAAGATTTTTTTTTTTAAAAAAGGAGCCAATCCCAAAGCAGAAAGGGGCCTTAGCATCCCCAAGAAAGAAGAGCTGGGAATGGAGCAGGTTCTCTGAACCAAAGCCCCTGAGGTGAAAACCTCCTTGACACAGGTGACAGCTCAAACACTGGTGACAGCACATGGTGGCATGAAGCCGTGTCAAGTACAGCAGAGACTGAGAAAGACTAAGGCCCGGACACCCCCACCCAGGCTGAGGCCCACCAGCACAGTGGTGCCTCCAGGCACTTGGCAAACTGAGCCCCACTTGCCCCCATCCAGGGTAAGAGTGCCAGGCTGATGCCCACCAGTAGAGCAGGGTGGCTCTGGCACTCACTAGTGGTGCTAGAGAGACATTTGGCACTTGCCCAAGTAGAGCAGAAGCCAGGGTGACTCTAAGGTGAGATGTGGAGGATTAGGGAGAGGTCTACCTGTGACCAAGGCCAAGAAGCAGGCCAACAGAAGGAGCCATAATCATGAACTGTACATAATCCATTCTCTGACCACCGCAGTGGACCTCCAGACCCGGGTGAGGAGAGAAACCTATGGAGGACAGTTGTGTAAGAACTAGCCCACAGGCTGAAGAGAGGAGGTACACATGCTCCCTGACTCACAGAAGTCACAACAGGCTGATGCTGATGGTCATGCTCGCTCATTCCCCTTGTGAGGAGAGTAGGGGTCAGACTATCCCTGCCATGGCATTTGCACAGTCTGATCCTAAGCTCAATACGACTGGAGTGCTTAGAAGAAAAGGTAAGGGTACACAGTGACACACACACACAGAAGAGAAGGCAAGCCAGAGACTGGAGAGATGAAGCTGCTAGGCAACGAAGGACAGGGACTCCCAGCAACTGCCTGAGGTCAGAAGAGGCAAGAAGTGCTCCTTGGGCCTGAGAAGGGCACACACTCCTCCAACCCCTGGTGCTGGGCTCTTGGTTCAATACTACTAACAGACAGATTGCAGCCACCCAGTGCCCTCCTCAGACACTATAGAATGCTATCTATATTCAATATTCAGTTAATCTGAAGCACTCTGCCATACTTTTACTACTTATTTTCCTATCCCTAAAAAACGTGTAGGGTGCTCTGTTGGCATAGTCCACACAGAGTTTTGCCGCTAAACTAAAGTCTGCGCTTCTCTGCCGGGCTGAATCCACCAGTTGCCCACTCGAGAGAAAGATGGGCAATCTCCTGTGTGATACACAGCCTCCAAAAGTCCATGAAAGGGTCATTCCCACTTGATAACAAAGGGTTCAAGCTAAGTAAAAGTAGTATCTCTGTATATGGAAACTGGATATGATAGTCTATATAGCCATTCACAACCTCTTCTCAATTATACACTGAACATACTGTTCAACAGAGACATGCAGCTATGGCGACGCATTCACTCTGAAACATTCACTTTTACACGTTATAAGTTTAACCACATAAACAATTCCTTTATTCACACCTCTGCTGACATTTAGATTGTTCCAATTCTCTCCTTGGAGGCTAAGATTCTGAAGCTCTGTCTCACACACTTTGGGCACGTGGCCAGGAGAGACCAGTCCTTGGAGAAGGGCATCATGCTTGGAAGGGTGGACGGACAGTACCAGAGAGGGCAACCCCGGATGAGATGGACTGATACAGTAACTGTGGTGATGGGGGTTGGTGTGTCAGAATTAGTGAGACTGGCTCAGGACAGGGAAGGGTTCAGAGCTACTACTATACAGGGTTGCTATACATCGCAGGAGACTCAACGGCACTTAACAACAACAACATTCTATATTAGGTTTTGTGGTGTTTTGGTTTTTTTTGTTTTTTGTGTTTTTTTTATTTAAGCCTCTTGTTTAGAGTCAACAAGACCTTCGGCAGGACCTTTGTATTTAAAAGTCAGTTGTTATTGTATTTCGGAGGAACATTCTTCTAAGTAATATGTTCTTCTGTCAATTTGCTGCACTGAAGTAATCTGGGTTTGCTGTGATGCTGAGCCGCTGGGGTGTCAAATGCCGTAACAGTTACCCATGGTGGACAGTGTCTGGTGGAGCTCCCAGTTTAAGACAGGTTTAGAAGCAGGAGTGGCAACCACTTCCTAAACAACATGCCTCTGGAAACTCTAGGAACTTTGATAAATGACAATAGTTATAGAAAGGCTTTAGGCCTTTTGTTCATAGGGTTGATGTGAGTCATGCTTGACTAAATGGCAATCAACAACAAAAAGACAATACCCCAGGGAACTTTCTCCAAAGATAAAGACAAGGTGTAACTTCTACTAAAGTTGGGCTTCAGCCCAACTTTTTTTTGTCACTGTATAAGTATACAAAATCTAGTCTCTTTTCTTTAAGAGAGACAATGTATAACAGTAACTAGCTGAGACCATAGAATCTGGAGTCAGATGTCCGGGGTTCAAACAACAAACTGAAAATAAAAATGGGCAGGCCTTTGGGGGTGTGGCCAGTGGGGAGTTAACTGCTGCACAACCCTGGCTGTTCAAAGTCATCAGTAGCACCTCAGGAGAAAGATGGGTAGTCTCCTCCTGATGGCATGGCCGGCTGGGAAGCCCAGCGGAGGGTCACTGAGTCAAAAGTCATTGAACAGGAGTGAGTAGAGACATTTGCAAATGTTTTTGCAAATCAACTCCCTTCAATCACCACCAGGGGTCATAACACACCCCCTAAATCCACACTTCCTACAAAGGCCTTGTATGGTTGATTATTTGTGTGTATAAGCTTCCAGGCCTTCGGTTCTGACAGTTCACCTGAATGAGTATAACAGAGAGTAACAAGTTACAGGGGATTTCAGGGAAAGAGGATGTTGTTTACCTACTGCTGGCGAGTGGACTGCAAGTCATGGTGACCCTGCAGGACAAAGCAGAACTGCCCTCGGGGTTTCTAAGGCTGGAGGTCTTCACAAAGGCCAAGTGCTGCAACTTTATCCCACAGAATGGCTGGTGGGTTTGGACCATCAACGTTTTGGCTACCCGTGGAATGCTTAAACTATTGCACCACCAGAGGATTCAAGTGCTGGCTTAACTGATATTAAATGCTCTTCAAACTGGTAAGTCTTCATTTGGAGTACTTAAAAGCAAAATCCTGGAGCCTATGCTCCAAAGTTCAGCCTGGGTATGTCTGCGGTAGGACTGCATTCTATGATACTTCATAAAGTGTACATCTATTACAGGGGGCAGATCAATATTCAACTGTAATCCCGAAAATCCATTCGTCCTGTGGAAAACAATCTTCTAATTCCCTTGAATAGCAACCCTTTGGCTCACTGGGTAGAAAGGATGAGCCATGTTGGAGCCCATGAGCATGCAGCACATGTTGAAGAGAACTTTAAACCAGAACTCTGACGGAACCATGGAAGTTGCCACCGCTACTCACCTTTGCTGTTTTGCAATTGAGTCAAAACCAACAGTCTCAACAAGCTTGTTTCCAATTTTAAGAACCTGCTCTTTCCTTTCCTCATCTGGCTCATCCTCTAACACATAGCGGTGCTCCACTGCAGTGAGAAAGTCAACTCCAAAATTTGCCTTGTTGGGGCGGATAAAGGATCCTCCTGTTGGATGCCTGGAAACAGGAAAGAAGTGGCACTTAGCAACAAGTACTGTCCTCTGTCCTCCAGGAAGTCACCAACCTACAAATGCATTGGTCCAAAGTTTCCCAAAATGTCTGCGTGCTAAAAAAAATTACCAATAACAACAACAACATAAAAGGGGAAAAGATATCCCAGAGGAAAAGGTATAACCATAAACAGTTATGAAGAATATAAAATCAAAAGGGATAGAACAATATCTCATGTAAGACAATTAAGACATGGAGGAGACTACTTCACCAATGATTAGAATAATGGCATATAATTAAGTAATGGGAAATTGAAATAATGATTGGCAAGGTTGAGTTTATCTACTCCTAGAGGTTTTGTCATAATTTAAAAATAAAAACTAATATCACACCAAGATTTTACATAATAGCATTATTTGTAATTGAGGAATTCTAGACACAATGGCAAGATGGATAATAAATATTAGGTAAACTAAACAGATGCAGAATATTACTGCAGTTATTACAAAATTCCAGCCACAATACTGGTAACACTACCCACAAAAAAGTTAGTATTTGTAAAAAAGGAACATAACTACACAGAAATCACGTTCACACAAAGCAAACACTATATATGAACACAAAGAAATAAAAAGACCTGTAGGTGACATGATGCTGCAGCAAATCCTTTTATTCAAATGACCTGAAAAGCTTAACTATGGGGCTAAAAAAGTACATGGGAGGGAGTCCCACTAAACATTTCAGCAACTTGTAATAATAATGTCTGTCAAGATTTCTTGAAATAAAAATTCTATTTCAATATATCATGAGCAGCATCGCCCTGCTACAGTGAAAAGCAAAAGGCTGACTTGTCTGGTAGTCTGAATCTACCAGGCAGTCCTCAAAAGATAACTGGGCAGTCACCTTCCACAAAGATGGATAACCCAAAAGAGGGTGTCTGTGACTCAGGCCCAGCCAGACAGCACTGAATCTCAGCCTTTGCCAGAAATCCAAGCCTCTCAGGTCATTCAATCTCAGCACTTCTTAAGTCATGGTCTTGTGAGACCTACTGTTGGTCTAATAATTTCTCAATTTTGAAGTACTGTAAGAAGTGATGTTTTGGTCACGGATCTGTAACAACCGTAAAGTGATAAACATTTTTTTCTACTTAATAAAGACCAATATATATAGTTGTTGTTGTTGATTGCCTTCGAGTCAAGCACGACTCACAGTGACCCTATGAACAAAAGGCCTGAAGCCCCTCTACAACTGTTGACATTTATCAAAGTTCGTAGAGTTTCCGGAGGCATGATATTTAGGAAGTGGATGCTACTTCTGCTTCCAAGGAATAGATAATATTGTATTAACATTAATTAATATTAATATATATTAATGTGGCATAATTTTGGAAAAATAAAATCCTACTACTACAGTTCAGTAAGGAAGCCTAGTAAGGGTCTAGTGCGTAAGGAATTGTGCTGCCACCAGCTGTTGCACAGGAGAAAGATAGGCAATCTCTTCCTGGTGTGATTTACCACATCTGAAAACCCACTGGAGGCTCACTGAGTCAGTTCTGACTCCACCGGAATGCACAGCAGCAGCACAGGTCCGTGTGACTCATGTCCTTTGTCACACTACATATTTTGTTCTAAAAATATTTTATTTCCATCCAAAATAAAAGAGAAGGTTTACGAACTGCAGGCCTGGAATGTATCCCACAAAGTAGCAGATTCTGAGCGAGGGCCTAGATGGGTAAGATTGGTGGAAAAGTGTTGACACTACTGCCCTATCATAAGTCTGCACATCTTGTAAATATCTACAAAGACTAAGAAAGAATGCAGAAGCCACACTGCTGAGAGAATCTGCACGAAGTAAAACAATCAGGGAACATTAATTTTTAAATAAAATATTATGGTCCAAGCCAAAGATAGCTTTTCTGAAGAAGATTGCAAATCTCTGTCTAGGTTATGGTCTTTGATTTTCTATTACATTTTATTACAGATCTTATGTTTATTCACAGCTAAATGGTATGTATCTTGTGTGTGTTGTTGTTATTGTTATGTGCCATCGAGTCACCTGCAACTCATAGACCCTATGTACAACATGCCTAAACCTCCTGCAATCCTGTGCCAATCATACCTCTCATACACCTACCCCCGTTACCCCAGACACTGAATCAATCCATGTCATTGAGGGTCTTCCTCTCCTGCACTGTCCCTCTACCCTTCTAAGCATGACATCCCTCTCCAAGGACTGATTCCGCTTTGCAACATTTCCAAAGTGTATCAGATGAAGCTTCAGAATCCTTGCCTCCAAGGAGCAGCCTGGCCTCACCCTCTCTAGGATGAACCTGTTTGTTCTCTTAGCCGTCCATGGTATATTCAATACTCCAGCACCACAGCTTAAAGGCATCAATCCTCCTATCATCCTTAGTCACTGTCAGCTCTCTGATGCATAGCAAGTAACTGCAGAGACTGTGGCCTGCCTCAGGTGCACCTTAGTCTCTAGACTGACATCGTTGCTCTTGAGTACTTTAGAGAGGTCTCTGCATCTTTTCTCCATCTATCATGATAATGTCTATTGGTCCAGTGGTGAGGATTTTTGTTCCTTGATGTTGAAATATAATCCACACTGAACACTGTAGTCTTTGCTCTTCTGCAGCAGGTGTTTTAAGTCCTCTACACTTTGAGCAAGTAACACTGTATCATCTTTATAACTCAGTTTATTGATGAAGTCTTCCTCCAGTCTTGATGCCACATTCTTCTGACAGTCCAGCTTCTTACATTATTTTATCAGCATATAGACTGAATAGGTATGGAGAAAGGATATAGCCTTGACACATTTTATTTGAAACACTGTAGTATTCCCTTATTCTGTTTGGACAGCATTTCTTGGTTCTGTATAGGTTTCCCATAAGCACAATTTAGTGTTCTGGGAGTCCCACATGTGTTACTATTACCCAATATTTGTTATGCTCCATCTAGTCAAATGCTCTTGCATAATCAGTAAAAGACAAGTAAACCTCTTTCTGGTATTCTCTGCTTTCATCCAATCCATAAAAAGTTGATCTAATACAATGAGGAAATTGTCAAACAATAGCATAGTATCACAAGTAAAATCTGCTGAAGATGATCAGGAAACACGTCAAAGGGCAGAGACAAGGAGTTGCTAGAACTTCAATCAGCATTCAAAAGAGGCCGTGGCACCAGGGATAGCACTGCTGACGTGAGATGGACCATGGCTCAAAGAGATTGCTGCTAGATACTGTTTACTCAATAAGCACGTGTGTGCCTGCGTATGTGATTGTAATGCAAGCAGAGCATGGTACGAGGTGTTATGTGAGATCAAACAAATACCACTTGGCCTCCCATACTAAAAGCAAAGATGCGCTCAGTGCTGGCAGGAATTTTTAGGTAGCATTATAGGTCATCCAGCCCAGAACAGCAAAGCTAGAGAGAGAAAGACATCTTTATGGACCCTGATAAATTTTACTAGCAAAGACTGTACTGTGGACTGTAAAATGAACAGGAAATGTACCTCAGAGTAAGTGCAGCCAAGAACACTCCTCCGTAACAAAGATGGTCTGACTTCACCTCACAAACTTTGGGCATGTGACCAGGAGGGATCTGTCCCTGCATAAAGGACATCATGGTTGGTAAAGTGGACTGTCAACAAAAAAGAAGGCCATTTACGAGGAGGCTTGACAAGGCGCCAACAGTGGACTTCAGCACAGCACAGCCTGTTGGAGTGGCAGCAAGCCAGACAGTGACTCCTTGTGTTACAAGTAGGAGCACTGTCAGTCAGAACCAACTCGATGAGAACAGTGATGTCAGGTGTCCACACTTCCTTCTAAAGCAGGTAGAGAAGCGGGACGAGGGTCCCACAACATAACTTACGAGTGTATGGTGACTCCTTCAGGACTGAATGACTTGTTTTGTTCAGCACTTGCTAGATAAGGAGGTTGGTTTTCGGGGAAAAGGTAACAATGCTATCTATTACTCTGCACAGCCTCTTGGATATTTAAGGAGTAGCTGTGACCCAAAGGCACAAGCAGTCCAAATCCACCAGCTGCTCTGCCAAACAAAGATGGGCAATCTCCTCCCTTGTGATTTACAGCCCCTGAAAAACTCACTGGAAGGCCAGCCGTCAGCCCATTCTCACTCTAACTCGAGGGCATGTAACAACAACATAAGGATTTAAGGAAGGCAGAGAGCAAATGCACACACTGTTTTTAGAAAACACAGCTCTTGCTTATTGTTAGAATGTAAAATGATAAAATTGTTTTACCATTAAAATGTAAAATATAAAATTTTTTCCCACCATGGGAAATAATTTAACAGTTAGAAAATGAAACAGATTAGCATGTGACCTAGCACTTGCATGCTGGACATACTGAAAGCAGGGAGTTAAATACTAGTAATGTGCATTGCAGTGTTATTCACAATACCCAAATAATGAAGAGTCACCAACAGATGAATAGATAAACAAAATACATTATACGCTTATTTAGCCATGAAAAGATGGAATGAATACATACTCTGACTTGGGTCAACCCTGAAAACATATTAAGTAAAAAAAGCCAAGGACAAATACAGTATGATTAATTTTATATTAAATACTTCCAATAGGTAAATACCTACAGACGGAAAATAGGGTAGAGGTTATCTGGGGCTGGCAGGTGGGAGTGGGAGTGTGTTGTTGTTAGATATTGTCTAGTCCCCTCTCAACTTGTAGCAGCCCCATGTACAACAGAACAGTTTTGTTAAAGAGGTACAGTTGGGTGTATGCCAGGGATGTGTCTTATCTCCATACCTTCTCAGTCTATATACAGAACAGATTATCTGGGAGGCTGGGCTTGATGAAGAGGAATGTGGCATCAGGATTGGAGGAAGACTCATCAACAATCTGTGTTATGCAGATAACACAACCCCGCTTGCTGAAACTGAGGAGGACCTGAAGCGCTTGCTGCAGATGGTCAAGGACTACAGTCTTCAATATGGATTGAAGTTCAATGTCAAGAAGACAAAGATTTTCACCAGTGAGATGATTGGCAGTATCATACGAAGAGACTGAGATTATTAACAGCTTTAGTTTGCTTGCCTCCACAGTCAACACTCTTGATACTAGCAGCCAAGAAAGTAGAAGACAAAATGCATTGGGAAAATCTGCTGTCAAGAGACCTCTCCAAAGTACTGAAGAGCAACGATGTCATTCTGGAGACTAAAGTGCATCTGATCCAGGCCACAGTCTTTGCAATTACTTGCTATGAATAAGAAAGCTGGAAAATGACTAGGGATGATAGGAGAACTGATGCCTTTGAGCTGTGGTGTTGGCGAAGAGGACTGAATATACCATGGACGGTTAAGAGAACAAACAGGTTCATCCTAGAGAGGATGAGGCCAGGCTGCTCCTTGGAGGCAAGGATTCTGAAGCTTCACCTGACATACTTTGGACATTCTGTAAGGAGAGACCAGTCCTTGGAGAAGGGCATCACGCTTGGGAGGGTGGAGGGACAGAGAAAGAGAGGAAGATCCTCGATGAGATGGATTGATTCAGTGACTAGGGTGATGGGAGTAGGTCTGTCAGAGACAATAAGATTGGCACAGGATAGAGCAGGGTTTAGGGCTATGGTACACAGGGTTGCTCTGAATCACAGGCGACTCAGTGGCACTTAACAACAACAACAACAAAGTATGTTATTGGATAGGGCACTTCATTTTAACTGGTCAGATGATTAGTCAGTTATATTAAAATGCTATTACTTTTTGTTGTGGTATAGCGTTGACTTGGAACCAACCCATAACTGACCCTCCAGTGGGTTTTCGGCAGTAAATCACACAGGAGGAGACAGTCAATCTTTCGTCCGTGAAGAGGTTGGTGGGTACAAACCACCTGTCTTTACATTGGCAGCACAGTCGTTTACCACTAAGTTGCCCTAGCTCCCTCAGATGCTAGGCCTCTGAAAAGACCTCTTTGATCTTTCTAGGGTGGTCTTAAAGCTCTGGTGTCCTGGTGATAAGGAGCTGCACTGCTAATCCAAAGACAAGTGGTTCCGATCTACTAGCTTCTTTGAAGGAGACTCATTCTTCCCTGTAGTGAAAGTCTCGTGTATGAAACAGGTATGCTGGTACTAGTATTGGTTTTCCTTAGAGAAGTAACATGTAGGGCATAGCTAGGGAGAGAAATAAGAAAGTCTCGTGTATGAAACAGGTATGCTGGTACTAGTATTGGTTTTCCTTAGAGAAGTAACATGTAGGGTTTAGCTAGGGAGAGAAATAAAAAAGTATTTTTTAAATTATAAATAAAAAATTAAGAGTACTCTCCTCCTGTGTGATTTACATCTTCCAAAAACCCACTAGAAGGCCGGCGATAAGTCAATTCCAAAGTGTCAAGTATAGTATCTTTTTCCAGCACAGTTTCATTTACCTAGTGAAAAAATGGGACCTGTAACTTAACTGATGTAGTGGCAAACACCTGCCTTGAGCATTCTGCTCTTTCAAGATGTGGGATCAAACTTATTAAGACTTGAAAGATGAGGGAGAAATCTCTGAGGACAGCCTAGACTCATTTCAGTTTCTCATGCTGCAACCATAACTCAGTACCAAATGCGGAGTTTAATTAAAGAAATACTTGCTATAACAACCTAAAAGAATTAAAGCAATAAATGTAACAAAATACACAGACACTGTAAACTCAGTGTAACAACAGTTACTCAGCAGATTAAAGCCTGTCTATTTTAAGATCACTGTTAAAGCAAAAGCCATTGTCCCTATATGCCAACGACATGTGTGTGACTCACACAGGCAGATCACAGATGCCCCAAAGGGTTGTGAGGCTGTAACCTTTACAAAAGCAGGCTGCCGCATCATTCTCCAGTGGGGCAAACTGCTGACCACTCAGTCAGAAGTCAGATGCTTAAGCACTATACCACCAGGGCTCCCAAACTAGATGCCAGAAGCATGCAAACGTTATTCTATTACTGGAATTCTGTGAGGTCAAGATGAGCTGGACTGGCTGGAGAGAGAAGTACACTGGAGAAGAATGGACAGACAGGCCAGGCCTTGATAAGTGCACTGTCCACTCTACAGTTCTGACTAGTAAAGGGCCAAACCCCACATGAAAACCCTCATCCATGGCAACCCAAGATAGGAGACTTCAGAAGCTGTGCACACCAAGACCCCATTCAGTATATCCTGCCAATTTGTTCTCAAAACACAAGGCAAAGGAATTCTTATCATGTTTACGTGTCAAAGGCATAATTACGCTATTATATGTCTGACAAATTGGTTGATATTAAGATACGCTTCTGAAGAGACAGTAATGAAGACAGAGAAATTTTTGTCAGAGTTCTACAGTAATATAACAGATTTTAACTCAGGTTTTGCTTATTTATATATAATGAAGACATCATTATTTTGCCATACAAATATCTGTGATCTGACAATTTTGACGCTTGAGCATCATTAAAATAACATCTAAACAAGAAGAAAATGTCTTCTGTGGCAAAACACTTTTTCCTGATTTGTATATCTTGTAATTATGAGTTAGTACTCAAGTAAATCAATATATTTTAAAAGATCAAAATATTCATAATGTCATAAATGTGAATGTCATAAAAACAAAGACGTACATATGTTTATTAACAATATATTTTTAGACACTTAACAGCAAACATATGTGGTGTAATATGTTTGTCTAATTAAAACTCTAACATAGGAATAAAATCTTTACCTAGTTGAGGCCATGTTCTAATGAATAAAAATACATGGATTAACAACAGGAAGCACAATTTAAATTCCTTTCCTACAGCCCAGCAGCAGCCCTCGACATGTATGGCCCAGTGCTCCCTTTATGACTGAGCTGAGCTATTGCTGGGAGGTGCCACCCACTGCAAGCCCCATGCAGAACACGACATGCTGTCTGGTTCTACAGCATAAACACAACCCCAACTATGTTTGAGTCCACTAATTCCTCCTTCTTGCTATTTTCCCAGGTACAAAGTCTTCCTGGATCTGGTATCTCCTGATAACATGTCCAAAGTCCATGAGATGAAGTCTCATCCTCTTTGTTTCTAAGAAACATACTGGCTGTAACTCCTACAAGACAGATTTGTTCTTCTGGCAGTTCATGGTTTCATCAGTATTTTTCACCTACACCATTAATTCAAAGGCATCAACGCTCTTTTCCATGAAAAGAGACTTACTGAAAACACCCTTACTTGGGTCAAGGCAAACCTGAGTCCTCAAAATAACAATTTTTCCTCTTTACTATTTCTATGATGTTATTTGGAGACTTGTCCAGAACTATCTCAAAATGGAATAGACATGTAACATTATTACACATAAAATTTTACATCAACAAAATCTATAATAATACATGCAGACAAGCTCTGGTGGCCAGTGGCAAGAAGCTGCACTGCAATCCCAGAGGTGTGTGGTTCAAATTCACCAGATGCTCTGCTGAAGGAGGAGGAACAATCGCCTCCTATACCAGTCAGATCCGATTTGACAGTACACACATAAAAAATAATAATAAAAAATTTAAAAAAATATATGTAAACGCTCAGGCACCTCTCGACAACCTTTTATTCCTCTTCTCATTATTATCCTAACTTCTGCCTGGCTGCTGCTGTTGAAGTGCTGCCATGAATATTTCTGAGACCTGCCAGGATCCTGGCTCAGCAAAACTTTCAGACCAGGTGGAAGACAAAATAGTGGAGGAGTCATTTTCACATATAATCTGCAAATACAATCTGCTTTTCATTAACTGCATTTGTAATCTGGACTTACTTTGGTGCCCTGGGATCAGAATTATACTATTTTCTGCACCGCTGCTGCTAGAAGTGTTATTTTCATCATTACTACTGTGATAGCTTTAATGAACACCGGGAGTTAGATGAATTGTGTCATTTTTATCTGGAAGTTAACTCCAAGGCATTACACAGGCCAAAATGAAGCTTAAGCTCAAGCAATGGAGGTACAGATGGCCACCATGTCTCACCCTAAGTTTTACTAAAGTTTATGTCTTTGATCCTTTGGACTGTTCAAACTCTCTTGAGCATTTATAGATAAACACAAACTAAGACAACAGTCCTCAATAAAAGGTACATTGCAAAGAGGACTGGGGTGGGAAGAGGAAATTGTGCAACACTGAATGAATATTAAAAAAAAAAGCAAGTGAACTATGGTAGGAGGACAGGAGCAGGAGGGAGGAAAACATGCAACAATGAATGAATGAAAATCCACCTTTTCTGTTAACTTTCATTAAAATCACAAAATAAAAAAATTATTAAAAATATAATAAAAATATTACCTTGAGTAAATGACTACAGCAATTCATAATAAAAAGTTACCTGCATTTAAAATACACAGTCCCTTGATGGCTCCCATCGTGCTTTCCTCTCTCAGGCTTGTCCCATTCTACTCCTAACCAGAGTCCTGGCACAAGGAGAAAAATCAATGAGCAGCAAGTGGTGATACAGGCAATACTTTCACTGCTCTGGAAGTAAATACAATTTATATGGAAATCATGTCACATCCACACCACTGCTGGGGGGGGACCATGGGGGAAGGGGGATGTGTCTTTTGAGAAGGATAACTTTATCCTATTTCTTTTTTTTTCTTTTAATTTAATTTTATTAATTTTAATGAACATTTACAGAGATTTTGGATTTCCATACATTCACTGTTGTATTTTTCTCCCTGCCCTCCTCTCCACCACCCCCAGTTCACTTTATCCTATTTCAATCACCAAATATAACAGCATGTTTGATTCAAAAGGGCAACAAAAAACATAAATATGAGAAATAACAATGACTAACATTTACTGAGAACTTTTTAAGAACCAGGAACTTCTCTTATATTATCTCATGCAATGTTAAGGAATGACAGCCACTTGAGAACTTTTTAAGAACCAGGAACTTCTCTTATATTATCTCATGCAATGTTAAGGAATGACAGCCACTTCATCTATGTAAAGAAGGTATTATTCTGTTTACTACTTCATGGGCACAGATATTTTCAGTACTAGATCTATAATATTTTATAAAATAAAAAATCTCTAATCAATGGAAATAATAGCAATAATAGCAGAATACTATGAATAACTGTACTCCAATAGATCTGGAAACCTAGAAGAAACAGACAAATTTTAGAAGCTTACTGTCCACTTAAACTAACATGGACAAGAGGAGGATATTTGAGCAGATTCACCATAAAAGAAAAAAGAACATCGTATCATGAAAACATTCCCTATCAAAAAAAGTTACAGCATAGATTACTGAAATAGATTCCACTCCATTTCAGAATAAAGGAAGGAAAATGGAGCCCTCCTGAATTTATCTATGAAGCAAGCATAACCTCGATATGAAAGCCAATACAAGACAGTCTGCTCTGCATTAAAAAGGGTAAGTCTAAAAAACAAACTGGAAAAACAATGTCATTTACAAGAGGCATCAGAAGATTAAATATACAGAAATAAGTCCAACCAGCAACATAAGACCTACACAAAGAAAACTACAAAACAAAACTACAAGACACCAAGCAGACCTACACAAATGAGAATATATCGTGTTTATGGAATGTTGTTGTTGTTATGTGCCGTCGAGTCTCTTGTGACTCACAGCGACCCTATGTACAACAGCCCTAAACTCCGCTCTGTCCTGTGCCAACCGCACTGTCTCTGACACTCCCATCCCAATTATCCCAGTCACTGAATCAATCCACCTCATAGAGGGCCTTCCTCTCCTGCGCTGTCCCTCCACCCTCCCAAGCATGATGTCCCTCTCCAAGGACCGGTCTCTCCTCACAACATGTCCAAAGTATGTTAGACGGAGCCTCAGAATCCTTGCCTCCAAGGAGCCACCCGGTTTAACCCTTTCCAGGACAAATCTGTTTGTTTTCCTAGCAGTCCATGGTATTCTCAATACTCTTCTCCAGCACCACAGCTCAAAGGCATCAATTCTCCTTCTATCCTCCTTGGTCACTGTCCAACTCTCTGATGCATAACAAGTGATTGCGAAGACCATGGCCTGTATCAGACGCACCTTAGTCTCCAGAGAGACACCATTGCTCTTCAGTACTTTGGAGAGGTCCCTAACAGCAGACTTTCCCATGCAATGTGCCTTTTAATTTCCTGGCTGCTGGTGCCAAGACTGTTGACTATGGAGCCAAGCAAACTAAAGCTGTGTACAATCTCAATCTCTTCACCATCCATCCTGATGCTGCCAATTGGTCCAGTGGTGAGAATCTTTGTCTTCTTGACATTGAGCCTCAATCCATATTGTAGGCTACAGTCCTTGACTTGACACTCTGCAGCAGGCGCTTCAGGTCCTCTTCAGTTTCAGCAAGCAGGGTTGTGTCAACTACAGAACAATCTCACTGATTTCACATGCAAGCAAGATTTTACTGAAGATTATCCAAAAACGACTGGAACAGCACATCAACAGAGAACTACCAGAAGTCCAGGCTGGGTTTGGAAGGGGTCGTGGTACTAGAGATATTGTAGCTGATGTTAGATGGATCTTGGCTGAAAGCAGGGAATACCAGAGGAATGTCTATCTGTGTAGATCATAACAAACTATGGCTGACTCTGAGAAGAATGGGAATCCCAGAACACTTGATCGTTCTAATGCGAAACTTATACTTGGACCAGGAGGCAGTCGTCAGAACAGAGCAAGGGAACACTGCATGGCTCAAAATTGGGAAGGGCGTATGCCAGGGATGCATCCTATCTCCATACCTTTTCAACCTATATGCAGAACAGATTATCCGGGAGGCTGGGCTCTATGAGGAGAAATGTGGGGTCAAAATTGGTGATTTATGGAATAGAAGACTTAATATTATAAAGATGTCAATATCACAAAAAGCAATCTAAAGATATAAAGCAAATCCTAATCTAGATCTTGTCATCATTCTTCAAGGGAGAAAAGTAATTACCATCTTTCTATGGAAAGGAAGGAGACCCTAGAGAAGCAGAGATACTGAGGAAGAAGATCCACTACACAGCCACAGTCATCAAAACAGGCTGGAACCTGTACACTGAGGTTTTACAAAGAGAGGCAATCCAGTGATGGGGAAAGACAGCCTTGTAAAATCGGGTAATTATTTACAGAAAATTGAAACAAGACTCACACTTCACATCATATACAAAAACTAACTCAAGATAGGTCAAGAACCAAACATAAAACCCAAGACTATAACAATCATCACAGAAAATACTTAGAAGCACTATCAGTGGTGTGAACACACTATCAATTAGAACTAAAAACGAACAGCCAATGGAAGACAAGCGTGATGACTGAGGCCACCTAAAAATTAAATCTTTACACGCAGAACCTATTTGGCTGGGCTTCATCTCAAACATAACAGAAAACTCAAAAATTCAACAAGAAAAAGGCAAAAAAATCCAATTACAGAATGCACAAAGGACATGAACAGACACACAATACCAGGAACAATAGCACAGTTCAACAGGGCAGCAAACAACAAATGTGGCGAGGCTGTGGAGAGACTGGAACCCTTATTCACTGTGGGTGGGATTGTAAAAATGGTCAGCCACTATACTATGCAAGGTGGTATGGCACTTTCTCAAAAAGCTGGAAATAGAGATACCATTTGACCCAGCAATTCCACTACTGGGAATAAACCCTAAAGAAACCAGAGCCACAACTCAAACAGATGTATGCACACACGTTTATCGCTGTTTTGTTCACATTAGCGAAGCAATACAAGTGAATGGATAGAAAAAAGCATCATACATTCATATATGGAATATTACGTAGCACTGAAAAACAAGGAACTTGTAAAATATTACACAACATGGGTGACCCTGGAGGACATTATGCTGAGTGAAATCTCTCAGTCACAAAAGGACAAACACTGCATACCACCACTGTTATAAAATAGCAACACTGTTATAAAATAGGAGAGATATGAGAGGGACTGGGGAGAGAATGAAGAAAGAGTGGATAGATAATGAACACTGCATTAAAACAGATAAGGGGAAGAACTGTCCGAAAGGAATATATAATTAGGCATTATATATATGAGACAATACTCTGGAACAAAGGGTGTACTACAGAGTGAGCTGGTGGAGGGAGGATGGGAGGAGGTAAGAAAATGTGCAACCATGAAAAAAAAATATTAAAAATAAATGGACAAGATAGGAGTGAGGAAGAAGTGGATAAGATCATTAACTATTAGAGATTTACAAATCAAAACAACAATGAGATAAACTTTCACCCTGGCAAAAACAGCAATGTTTAATAAGACACCAAATAACAAATGCTAGCAAGGGTGTAGAGAGACTAGAAGTCTCTCAAACACTGCTGGCCACAATGTAAAATGGTGCAACCACTATGGAAAGCAGTTTAGCACTTTCTTAGCAAGATGAGAATAGAAATACCATTCGATCCAGCAACCCCACAACTAAGGATCCCAGAGAAAAGCAAGCTGCAACACCGACATTATTCACATCCTTGTCTCCTGAAGTATGATTTATAACAAAAAGAAAACAACTCAAGTGTCCAGCAACACATGGGGCACTAAGCACATTCACACAACACATTATGATGAAAGCATCCCTTAAAAACAATAAAGAATTCTCAGAACACAGCATAACATGGATGGATCCCTCGAGAGGACACTATGCCAAGAGAAGTTAGTCACAAAAAGGACTGTTACACACAGTCATTCCTGGATAGTTCCCACGATGGGAAAGGATAGAGAGGGGAGTAAAAAGGAGTAAATAGATAAATAGGCATGTATTAAGACAGGCAAAAGGTAAAGGCTCCATCCAGTAAGGAAGATGAGCAGGACACTACCACTGCAGGATTAACTGAAATCAGAGTTACAGGAAGGAAGTGGGAAATGTGTCAGCACACTGAGGGTATTCAAACTAATATTACTGAACAAAATATGTGTGAGTTGAGTGAAAAATTCATTTGCTTTGTAAACCTTTACTCAAATCATAATTAAAAAAGAAAATATCTATATAAACATTATTTATACTAAACTTAGGTAGAATAATCTGCACTCAATCACACAAGTTCAAATTCAGTTCTCCCTAATCCAAAAGTCAAGTCAAGTTTTAAATAGTATGCTATTTAAAACTCCTTCTTAGTATGGCATTGTTGTTGGTAGGTGCCATCAAGTTGTAGATGACTCATAGAGACCCTAAGAACGAAAGACCTGAACACTTGTATAACTTTCATCATTTCTCCACATTCATAAGAGTTGCCGGAGGCAAGTCATTTAGGAAGTGGATGCCACTTCTGCTTCCAAGCTTGTTTTTTTTATTTTTTATTTTTTTCCCCAAGCTTGTTTTAATCAGGGAGTTCCACCGAACACTGTCCACCATGGGTAACTATTATCATATTTGGTACATCAGTGTCATAGTGTTCAGCTTCACAGTGACCACAAGTTACCTCTGTACAGCAAGTGGACAGGCCAGTGCTATACCACTTAGAAGAAAGTTTGACCAAAAACAATTAAAACCAGGCCAGATTAAAATCACCAACCTTTGGCTTGGTAACATAACTTTCTATCCACTAGGCCAACTGAGCTCTCTTCTTCTTGTTGTTAGGTACTGTCGAGTCACAGACGACTCATATCGACTCTATCATAGGATGGCGTACCATCTTACAATTGCAAAACACTTGTTTACTGTCTCACCTCTCCTGTCTTCAGGTTCAAGTATCCACTACACAATCATATGCTCAACATATCCTTTGAGAAGCTGAACTATATAAAGAATGTGGCAGCGCAATCAACAACTATCAGCAACCTGTGTTATGCAGATGACACAACCTTGCTTGCTCAAAGTGAGGAGGACTTGAAACATTTGCTGCAAAGGATCAAAGACTATAGACTTTTTAATATGGGTTACATCTTCACATCAAGAAGACAAACTTTCACTATTGGGAAAACAAACAACATCACAACAAATGAAGAGATAGCAACTGTCAATGATTTCACCTTGCCTATATTCACAAACAACACTCTAGGCACCAGCAGCCAGGAAATCAAAAGACTGTACTGTATTGGGAAGGTTGTCGGGGTCCTCTCAAAAGTGCTGAAAAGCAATGACGTCAATTTGAAAAATAAGATGCAACTGATGCAAACCATAATCTTTTCAATTACTTGCTATGCAGCTGACACTTGGCTGATGAATAAGAATGACAGAAGAAGAACTGATTTTTTTTGAGTTGTGAGGTTGGAGAAAGACTGCTCAATATACCAGGGACTGCCAAAAAGATAAATAAATATCTTATAAAAAGTACAAAGTACTCTTTGGATGCCAGAATAGTGAAATTTCATCTTACCTACTCTGGACATGTTATTAACAGTCCTTGGGAAAGGGTATCATGAAGGGAAAGGTGGAAGGTCAGAGAAAGAGAAGACCCTCAACAAGATGGATCAGTACAATGACTGTAATAATAGGCTACAGCATATCAGAGATGATGAGTATGGCACAGGATAGGCAGGATTCAGATCCACTGTTCACTAGTCTACTTGAGAGCACTTAACACAATGACGTGCATTACTGAAGATACTGGCTAAAAAAAAGTCTTCAGTAACAGAATACCAACTGAGATGCTTCAACAAATGGATACAAGATTGGAAGCACCTACTTTCTCTGCCAAGAAAATGTGCAATATTGCCACTTGGCCATCTAAGTAGAAAAGCGTCATATTATTCCAAAGAAAGACAATTAAACAGAATGTGGAAATTATCAAATAATATCATTAACATCACATGCTAGCAAACTTTTGCTGAAGATAATTCAAACAAGCCTGCAGCCCTGCAGCCATGCACCAGCAGAGGAGTGTCTTAAGTTCACAGAAGATTCAGACAGAGATGTGAAAGAAGGAATAAGAGGTGATGCCAGATGGGTCACAGCCAAAACCTGAGGACACCAGAAAGATGTTTCCTTATGTTTCACTGCCTAAGCAATGGTAATCCACTGTGTGGATCCTAATAAATTATGGATGGCATTATAAAGAAAGAACATCCTAGAATACTTAATTGTCCTCAAGTGAAACCTGCACACAGAAGTAGTCATTCAAGGGGGTACTACATGCTTTACAATTGGAAAACGTATCCAGTATGGTTGTGTCCTTTCACCTAACAAGTACACTGAACAAATTTATCCAATATGATTGTATCCTTTTACCTGACATGTAAATGAAACAATGCAAGAAACTGAGCTACAGAAAGAAGAATGCAGTTTGAGGTTTAGGGGGAAACTCATTATGCAGATAGCACCATCCTGCCCACCAAAACCAAGACTACTAGAAGCATTTATTTATAAAGGTCAGACTATGTTGTTGTTGTTGTTGTTGTTAAGTGCTAGGAGTCAACACTGACTCATAATGACCCTATAAACAACAGATTTGAGCCCTGCCTTATCTGCGGCATCATCAGGCTCTCCCCCTTGTTCAAGGCCATTTTTCAGGCTGAGATCTGATTATAAGTTGTCAGTGAAAATGACAAGGAAGAAACCCTCTCCTCGGAAATGCAAGGGAGCCAAACCCCAAGCCATCCCGCAGGTGCCTAGGTAGGAGCCTGGGGGCCAATAAAAGCAGTGTCCACGTGGGGCTCACGCTCTTTTTCTTCTGGCTCCAGATTTGACTTTCCAAGGGGACCGGGCTGCACAGCTAGTAGATTGTAATCCCTGTCACTCAAGAGTACCTGCAGAAATTGCTGCATTAGTGTGAATTTTGCCATTATTTTCAACAAGCAAAAAACTACTTTTAAAATAGAAATTAATGTCTAAAAATGGGGAGTGAGTAAGCATATGCCGTAAAAACAAAAATACCAAATTATTTCATCTGATTCAAAGTAACACAAAATACAATGTATGCCAATTTAAATTATATTTAAGTGCCATGTATATTCATTTAAATGGATTAATCCAACCCATAGAGGCCCCACTCATGACAGGGTGGAACTCTGCACCATAGATTATTAAGGGCTGATTTCAGAAGCAGATTGTCAGGCCTATCTTCAGTGCCTCCTAAATACACATAGACTGACTAAAAAGAAATGTTTAATAGAGTAAACTAATTTTTAGATTTAGATTCACGAGCCTATGAGTTGCTGTTGTCTTTAAAAATCTTGACAACAGTTTGACTTCATATAAAATGTTGTTGTTGTTAAGTGCCATCCAGTCGCAGGTGACTCATAGCAACCAAATGAAGGAGAGTCCTCAACGCTTGGGTATCTCTTATCTTCTCTCCAGGTTCATATAAAATAGCAACAATAAATAATTAAGCAGTTTAGAATTAAAACCAACTGCACATAAGAAACATCTATAAATTAGCTGTGGTGTAGAGAAGAGCACTGAACATCCTCCCATGGACAGCCAAGAGAACCAACAGATAATGTCTTGGAAAGGGTGCAGCTGGAGTGCTCTTTGGAGGCAAAAATTACAAGGCTTCACCTCACATACTTCGGACATGTTGCTAAGAGGGGCTATCCCATAGAGGATATGACACTGGGAAGACTGGAGAATCAGAGAGGAAGACCCTTGACCAGGTAGACCGAGACGGTGAGTGTTGCAATGGGTTCTTGTGTGTCAGGAAGTGTAAGGATGGCGCAGGACAGAACAGGGTTCAGATCTTTTGTCCACAGTGTTGCTATGAATCGTACTCAACTTGATGGCACCTCACAACAACATTATCAAAATTAGTCTTATATAAACATTACTGAAAAGCCTACATAGAAACAGCTGCAGAATAAACAAATATTCCTATCTATATCCATCTATATATCTATAAATCCAAATATAAAAAACTACCTGCTACTGGAGGGACAACACCAGAAAAACGCACTGTTCCAAGTTCTCCATTAACGTCAACTCTTCTACCAATGACATCTTCTGTCAGAGTGTCATTCATTATGACACAGTCCAAATCCAAATTATAAGGAGACCTAGGAATAAAATAGGAACAGTGACAAAAATTTCATAAAGTTCATTTTAAAAATGTTTTATCATGTCATGTAGAGATTCTCCAGAACAATGCTTGCTATCAATTTAATCTTTATATTTTGGTGAAGAGACTAACTTAATGTTTATGTATCATACTTTACAATCTAATTATATTTTAATAACCTGGTATAGCTTCAATTTTCTTGAATCCCATCAGCTTAAATCACATGACTGATCTATTCTACCACTGACTGAAGTAGATGGAGAGGAAAGGAAATGAAAAAAAAAAAGGGAACAAAACTTATAAAGGTGAAACACTGTGGATGGAGGGCAATGAAAGAGAGGAGGACCCTCAACAAGATAAAGTGGCAGAGTGTTTGTAACCATGGGCTCAGATGTATCAGGGATGATGAGGATGGCACAAGAGAGGGCGAGGCTCAAATCTGCTGTTCACAGGGTCAGTATGAGTCATGGTCAATCAGACAACATTTAACAACATTCTACTATCAGTGACAATTACGAAAATAACAGCAAGCAAAATCTTCAGAAGAAAATGAGCAAAGATAAACAGAAAAAGACAACAAAACCAGAAGACTGTTCTCTGAGAGGATAAAAAAACTGACAAGTCCTGGGCAAATCTAGCAGAGGAAATTTTGCATAATCAATGAAAGATATTCTTCTGGTACTCTTTGCTTTCTGCCAAGATGCATCTGACATTGGCAATAATGTCTCTAGTATTATAACCTCTTCTAAATCCTGCTTATATTTCTGGTAGTTCTCTGTCAATGTACTGTTCCAGCCGTTTCTGGATAATCTTCAACAGGATTTTGCTAATGCGTGTTATTATTCAATAATTTCCACATTCTGTCTGGTCACCTTTTTTTAAATGTTATTGAAATACATCAGCTGGTATTCCAGCAATTCCTGGGGCTTTATTTTTTGCCAAGTCCTTCAGAGCAGCCTAAACTTCCTCCTCCATCACCATTGTCTCTCAATCATATGCTGTTTCTTAAAATTCTTGTATCAGCCCCTTCTTTTTGGTACAATGACTCAGTACACATCTTCCATCTTTTTTTTAATGCTTCCTGAATCATTCAATAGTCTGCCTATAGCATCCTTAAGCATTACAACTTATGGCTTGAATTTGTTCTTTTAGTTCCTTCAGCTTAAGAAATGCTGAACGAGTTTGGCCCTTTTGATTTTCTGACTCCAGCTCCTTGCACATTTCATTATAATACTTTGCCTTGTCTTTCCAAGTTGTCCTTTGAAATCTATTCAGCTCCTTGATTTCTTCCCTTTGCTTCTGAACAGGTAACCAAGATGCATTACTAATAAGGGGTGACTAGGATGTGAAAACTGGGAGCCAGGAAGAATCAGTAGTCAAAAAAAAGGGACTTGGTGACAGAAATGAGGTTGGGGATTGAATGACAGGATTCTGTACAATTATTTATTCACAACAAATGCCTTTTATAAGAAACATAAATGCAGGCTATACATATGGATTTCACCTGATGGAACACACAGGAATCAGACTGATTACATCTCTAGGAGCAAGCATTGGAGAAGTTCAGTATCAGCAGTGAAAACTACGTCAGGAGCTGACTGTGGAACAGACCATCAATTACTCTTATGTAAGTCCAAATTAGAGCTAAAGAAGGTTAATCATATCCACAGGAATCAAAATTTGATCTTGAGTCTATCCCTCCTGAATTTAAAAACCAACTCAGGGATAGGTTTGAGGCCTTGAACACTAATGAACAAAGACCAGATGAGCTGTGGGAACATACCAAGAATATCCTTCATGAAGAATGCAAAAAGTCATAAGAAGGAAGACCAAAATGGATGTCAAAAGAGAATCTTATTATTATACTAGAGCACTGAGAAGGCAAAGGGAAGAAATAAAAAAGTTAAGCAGCCTTATAGTCTGCATATGATAAATGACACCTGTTTTGAGTTTTGCTAAGGCAATAACTAATACCGTAATTCTTATTGTTCATAGAAGTAAACTTTTTCCAGCTTTCTTCACTAGGAATTATATCTAAGTCTTGACAGCTAAATCTCTGTATACTGGAGTTGGCTTTTCTGGGGTCATTACTCCTACTGTGCACTTTAAGTGCACAAGGGTTAGGTTTAAATACACCATAGCTACTGCAGGTGTGGGTAGCTTCTTTGAAACCTCATAGCTACTAACATCATAACTACTAATACTACTAGATACACAAAGTAACTTTTTCTCATTTGCTGGTTTTGTTGGGCTATAAATTAGGGTTCTTTAAAGCTCACTTTTCTCATTCATTGCTTACACTATGACATAGAGGATATGATCTAGGAGAGGTCTCTGACAGCTGATTTTCCCAATGCAATTCATCTTTTGTTTTCCTGACTACTGGTGCCAAGAGTGTCAACTGCAGAACCAAGCAAGCTATAACTGTTAACAACTTCAATCTCTTTGCCATCTAACACAGTGCTGCCAATGGCCCAGCGGTGAGAATCTTTGTTTTCCTGATGTTGAGTTTCAATCCATACTGAAGACTACAGTCCTGGACCTTCTGCAGCAGGTGCTTCAGGTCCTCTTCAGTTTCAGCAAGCAAGGCTGTGTCATCTGCAAAACGCAGGCTGCCGATGAGTCTTCTTCCTCCAATCCTGATGCCACATTCCTCCTCATAAAGCCCAGCCACCCAAATAATCTGTTCTGCATATAGACTGAAAAGGTATGGAGACAGGATGCATCCCTCTGTCCTAAGGACTGTTTCCTGGTTCAAATATAGGTTTTGCATAAGCACAATCAAGTGTTCTGGAACTCCCATTTTCCTCAAGGTTACACACAATTTCTTAAGATCACCTTATTTTTTTAAAAAAAAAAAAGGCTACGGTCTATGACCTAATTTCTTCCTCTGGCAGGACCATTAATTACTATAACACTTGTATTTAATTTTAGACTAAGTATCTTAAACTTGATTGTGAATTTTGCTTCCTCTAGACTGTAATAGGATGATGCAGGATCTCTATGAGCCGTATTTGACTCGATGGCACCTAACAACAACAACCTGACTTTAAGAATTCCATGTTAAAATGATGCACCTTCAAATATATGAACCTATGTTCCTAAGTACAACCGATGACAGCACATCTAATTTCCAAAGTCAACTGCCACAGAAGTGGACCATGTTCCTATTGCCAAAGGGATCCATTAGAATAGTAAGAGAAGGTTTTCGCCCTAGAACTTAAAACACTCTTTGCCAACAGACAATAGCAAAGAGAATGTGAAGCCCCATTTCCTCATGAATTAGGGCTAAGTCTCTCTCAGGGGCGAGTGATGGGGAATGAATGGCAAAAGGAAACGCTGAGAAAGTAATGAGAAACTGTTCTGGACAATGGTGTGACGGTGGTAAAACGAAAGGAAAACAGATTCATTTAAAAATGAGAATAGTGGAAGAGCAGACCCCAAGGGTCACCATAAATCCACCAAAAGCTGTGCACTACCATAAAGCTGTTTAAACTCGACCCCCTCTGAAAAACATCTATGTACTCGTATATAAGGAGAGCCAACCTTTCCTGACCTGTTCATACTGTTATGAACGTCTGATAAACTCGGTTTCTTTCGCTGGCTCGTACACCATGTCTTTCCTGCAGATAAGTTCTATCAAAGTCTTAAATTCGAGTCAGAACTGACTCAGAGAGGCCCCAGATCTCTTGGAAATCGTTCCAGGGAAGAAGTCCGCGTTTCCCGGAATCCCAGGCGGCTCGGCCACCGCGGCCAGTCCGCGACCGGTCCCGCCCGCGCCTCCAGCCCGGCCGCCCGCACGTGCCGCTCCCTCCAGGCCGGCAACGCCCACATGAGCAGCTCCTAGAGAAAACCTAGATATCTCCTAGACCCATCACACCACAGGCTCGGTGGGCGGCCAGGCCCAGGGAGCAGCGCTGACCGCCGCCGGCTCACCGTGCTAGAGCTCGCCTGCTCCCGCCTGCCGCGCCCAGGCCCAGCCTCACCGCCACCGCCCCGCAGCCCCGCTGCCCGCCCGCCCGCCCGGAAGTCGTGCTGGGTGCCCGGAAGTCCCGCCCCGTGCGAGCGGAAGCGGGCCCTGCAGTGTTGGCCTGGGCCGCAGAGGCCTTTGTGAGCGTTCGTGTGTTCTGGCTTGTGAGTTGCGTCTGGGTTCCCGGAACCTGGGCGTGTTCCTGGCCGTCCCAGTCGACGGGCTTTTTCATGCTATCACAGACGCTCATTGCAAATCGTGTGCTGAAACAGCCCCATGTTTATTAAGAACTGAGGCACAAACTGAGATTTGTATACCAATGTTCACCATCGCAAGAACATGCAAACAACCCGAATGTCCAACCACAAACGAATGGATTGAGAAAGTATGGTACATTCACACAATGGAATACTATGCAGCATGCAGGAGCAATGTTGTTTGTTGTTGTTTAATGCCGTCGAGTCGTAGACGACTCATAGCGACCCTATGAACGAACAGCCTGAGCACTGTTCGTACACAGAGTTTCCGGAGGCAAGCCATTTTGGAAGTGGATGCCGTTACCTAACTTGGGAGGGACTGGAGAGCATTATGCTGAGTGAACTAACTCAGTCCCACAAGGATAAATGTTATATAAAACCATTATTCTAGAATGAGTATAAGGATCCAGGAGGGGTGGGAGAGGCTGGAAGCAGAGGGATGTGGATGTGCAGGGGGAAGAGGGTATTAATCATTGGGTTGTACAATTTGATGGGGGGCGGGGTAAGGGAAATGGAAAGAATTTGTTCGAATTTGTATTAGAATTTTGTAAATAAACTAATGAAAAGGAAAAAGTCAACTTTGGGAGGGGAGAGGGAGGTAGAAGGGTTAAAACGTGCAACAATGAATGATTAAAAATTTTTCTGTAAACTTTTGTTAAAATGACAATTAAAATTTAAAAAATTATTTAAAAAAATAATTGTAGAGGTGGTTGTTGTTAGGTGCCATCAAGTCCAGT